TATATATATATTATTCTCTTATATCAGATATTAAAGCCTTAATGCTGAAATTAACCTTGTCTTTCGTAAGATTATAATTAACTAACGTCCTTAATGCTGAAATTAACCTCGTCATTTGTAGGATTAAAAATTAACTTCAAACCCGGTTAAATGGATGTCAGTCAACAGCTGGGCGATTTAACAGTCACTTCCCCGTTCAATTGGGTGACATGTCAGTCCCTCCTCCCTGTCAGTTCCTTCCCGTGTCAGCAAATATGTGGCATTTCCTTTCCGTCAGAGGTTAATGAAAACAGCTGTTTGATTGCGCAGTTGATATAGATTTCATATCATTTCGTCCTTGTTCTAGTTATTTGCCTTACTCCAAGTTGTTGTTTTTGTCGATTAATACATGAACACCCATTTACCACATTAAACAAAAACGATATTCTCAATCGTTCTGAACGTATGCTAAGGCCCGTACTTTTAAAACGTATGCCCAAGCTGGCGATCGCCTTACTTTAAAACCCAATGTTCGCCAAGGTGAGCGATCGCCAGCGCTAACATCTTGCATTCCTGCTCAATCTAGCGCTTCGGCGATTGAGAAAACGCGGGAAACGCAAATTTGTTTACGTCTGCAGTGCGTTATATAACCATATACAGTAAATATATATTGTTGGCACTTAGGAGGGTTTTTTTTTTATTAATTTATATTATATTACCTTATATATTATCCATATTACCGTACCTCACCTTACCTAACATAACCCAAGCTTGATTATTAACCTCAGGAGAAGACGATAATGATATTTCCGTAATAGCCTCACTTTATACAAAGGAGTTAAAGATTAATAATATAAAATAAAATAGTGAACTGTAGGGCTACAAGGGTTAAGTTAGGTCAGACACGCCTCATTATAGAGAAGTGGAGCATGACAGATGTTTCTATAGCCCGTAGTAAACATGCCATCATCAAAACACTTATGGTAACATTTGTGAAAAGAAAATTATCCCTACAACCAAAATAACAACAACTTAATTCAAAATAAGTTGTACAGCTGATGTCTTGAGCTCTCGACTTATTGATGAAATTATTAAATTACAAATTAGGGGTGGTCTTTAAAAAAACTACGTATATACGTTATTTCGTAATGATTTGTCATTTTCAGAGATTTCTTGAACTCGACTGGAACATTGATGGTCTTTAAAAAAATACGTATATACGTTATTTCGTAAAAAATTATGATTTTCAGAAATGTTAAAATTACAATGTGATTCATATATCACATTATACACAACTATGTTACTAATGTGTAATGTGAAAGCAAGCAAATGCTATTCAATCACGGGAGTGGGAGAGCTCTCGCGACTTTACTTCGCCAGGCTGTTCCAATACGACACAACGCCTGGCGACCACTTGCCATGCCTTTAATTGTGCGAAATTCCCGATCGTCCGGCAAAATCCCTGGCGAAAGGTTTTAAAAGTACGGGCCTAAGAAATTAATACAAAAAATAACTTAGATCTTTTATTGTAGCATTATACATTCAGTCTAGGGGTTCCCTATATTTTTTCCCTTCAGATTTTCTTCTTTCGAGCATTGTTCCCATATTTTCTGATCCCCTGGTTTGGTGTTGATTTTACCCTATCCATTCTAATGCAATTTTGGTCATATTTTGCTTATATGGAAACCAAGATTATAAGATATCAAGATGTTCTAGTACAGTGCAGTCATCACCAAAGAACAAAGCTTACGTAATCCCCCTTTTGTAATCGTGTAGACTTCTCGATCCTTTCTTAATAGACGCTCCAAGACCAGCATTTGTCTATTTGTAACCAATTTTAGCTTGTGTTCCATGAGACGTGGCTTGGCGTTGGTGTACTTGCGTGTATGGTTCGCAAAAAAAAAAGTGTCTCAGGGTCACTATTTGTGTTTGTGTTTCTAAAAAAAGGTATATGAACTTTATCCTTTTCAGTGCCTTGGCGTTGATGTATTTGTGTTTCCCTTTGTGTTCCCCAAAGAAGTGTCTTGACTTTCCTGTTGTTTGCGTTTACTGCCTAAGCGCTACGTCAACGCCACTTGTTTTGCGTTCGTGCACCTCGAGAAGCGCCTCCACTCCCGCTAATACCTTTCCACTCCCGGTGTACTTCTCCACTCCCGCTAATACCTTTCCACTCCCGGTGTACTTCTCCACTCCCGCTAATACCTTTCCACTCCCGGTGCTAATAACTCCCGCGCGCTAATCCCTCTCCACTCCCGCTAATCCCTCCCCACTCCCGCTAATACCTCTCCACTCCCGCTAATCCCTCTCCACTCCCGTTAATACCTCTCCACTCCGAGTAATCCCTCTCCACTCCTCTCGCTCCCCAAGTGCCCCGAAATCCACCCGCGTGCACCTTGCCCTACCACAACATCGGGGGCCACTGCCTGCTGATCGACGACCTCCTGCTGGGGTCGTGGGAGCGGATGAGCACCTTCTGCGTGGACTTCGGCGGCACCCTCGCCAACCTGTACGATGCCAATGT